GGGTTTTAAATGCAAGCTATTGTGACACCAGTGAGTGAGTGGTGGCACTGGGCACAGTATCCATTGTGAGCCTGACACAGACGCTGGCAGACAACTAACTGCTATTCAATCTATAACCGTGAAAAATAATTTTTGGTTTTTAAATGCACGCTATTGTGACACCAGTGAGTGAGTGGTGGCACTGGGCACAGTATCCACTGTGAGCCTGACACACCCGCTTTGAGACAACTAACTGCTATTCAATCTATAACAGTGAAAAAAGTTTTTGGGTTTTAAATGCACGCTATTGTGACACCAGTGAGTGGTGGCACTGGGCACAGTATCCACTGTGAGCCTGACACACCCGCTTTGAGACAACCTACTGCTATTCAATCTATAACAGTGAGAAAAGTTTTTTGGTTTTAAATGCAAGCTATTGCGACACCAGTGAGTGAGTGGTGGCACTGGGCACAGTATCCACTGTGAGCCTGACACAGACGCTGGCAGACAACTAAATGCTATTCAATCTATAACAGTGAAAAAAGTATTTTGGTTTTTAAATGCACGCTATTGTGACACCAGTGAGTGAGTGGTAACACTGGGCACAGTATCCAGTGTGAGTCTGACACAGACGCTGGCAGACAACTAACTGCTATTCAATTTATAACAGTGAAAAAATGTTTTTTTGGTTTTTAAATGCACGCTGTTGTGACACCAGTGAGTGAGTGGTGGCACTGGGCACAGTATCCACTGTGAGCCTGACACCCCCCCTTTGAGAAAAGTAACTGCTATTCAATCTATAACAGTGAAAAAAAGTTTTTTGTTTTTAAATGCAAGCTATTGTGACACCAGTGAGTGAGTGGTGGCACTGGGTACAGTATCCACTGTGAGCCTGACACACCCGCTTTGAGACAACTAACTGCTATTCAATCTATAACAGTGAAAAAAGTTTTTTGTTTTTAAATGCAAGCTATTATGACACCAGATATGAGTGGCACTGTGAACTGGCACAGTATCCACCGTGAGCCTGACACACCCGCTTTGAGACAACTAACTGCTATTCAATCTATAACAGTGAAAAAAGTTTTTTGTTTTTAAATGCAAGCTATTGTGACACCAGTGAAAGAGTGGTGGCACTGGGCACAGTATCCACTGTGAGCCTGACACACCCGCTTTAAGGACACTGACTGCTATTCAATCTATAACAGTGAAAAAAGTTTTTTGTTTTTAAATGCAAGCTATTGTGACACCAGTGAGTGAGTGGTAGCACTGGGCACAGTATCCACTGTGAGCCTGACACAGACGCTGGCAGACAACTAACTGCTATTCAATCTATAACAGTGAAAAATGTTTTTTGGTTTTAAATGCAAGCTATTGTGACACCAGTGAGTGAGTGGTGGCACTGGGCACAGTATCCACTGTGAGCCTGACACAGACGCTGGCAGACAACTAACTGCTATTCAATTTATAACAGTGAAAAAAGTTTTTGGGTTTTAAATGCAAGCTATTGTGACACCAGTGAGTGAGTGGTGGCACTGGTCACAGTATCTACTGTGAGCCTGTCACACCCGCTTTGAGACTACTAACTGCTATTCAATCTATAACAGTGAAAAAAGTTTTTTGGTTTTTAAATGCACGCTATTGTGACACCAGTGAGTGAGTGGTGGCACTGGGCACAGTATCCACTGTGAGCCTGACACAGACGCTGGCAGACAACTAACTGCTATTCAATCTATAACAGTGAAAAAGTTTTTGGGTTTTAAATGCAAGCTATTGTGACACCAGTGAGTGAGTGGTGGCACTGGGCACAGTATCCACTGTGAGCCTGACACACCCGCTTTGAGACAACTAACTGCTATTCAATCTATAACAGTGAAAAAGTTTTTTGGTTTTTAAATGCACGCTATTGTGACACCAGATAAGAGTGGCACTGTGAACTGGCAGAGTACACGCTGTAGGGCTGACACACCCGCTTTGAGACAACTAGCTGCTATTCAATCTATAACAGTGAAAAAAGTTTTTTGTTTTTAAATGCAAGCTATTGTGACACCAGTGAGTGAGTGGTGGCACTGGGCACAGTATCCACTGTGAGCCTGACACAGAAGCTGGCAGACAACTAACTGCAATTACATTACACAGAAAAAAAAAGCAGACTGATGTTCTAGCCCTAAAAAGGGCTTTTTGGGGTGTTGTCCTTACAGCAGAGATCAGATGAGTCCTTCAGGACTGTAGTGGACACTGTATACCCTAACCTAGCTATGCATTTCCCTATCTAATCAACAGCAGCTACACTTTCCCTCCTCTCACTAAGCATGCTGCTTGAGAATGAATGTAAAATGGATGCCTTCCAGTAGGTGGGAGGGTCTGCTAGGGAGGGTGTGCTGCTAATTGGCTGGAATGTGTCTGCTGACTGTGAGGTACAGGGTCAAAGTTTACTCAATGATGACGAATAGGGGGCGGATCGAACCGCGCATATGTTCGCCCGCCGTGGCGAACGTGAACATGCTATGTTCGCCTGGAACTATTCGCCTGTTCGGTGCATCACTACCGACAAAGTAATAGGCCTGTAATAAAAGTGGGCAAAAAGAAAATACCGTAAAACATAATTCTTGTAACCAAAGCTTGTCTTAATTCTTTGGTACTGTATTTGGTATGTAGAGAGTGTAGGCGGAGGATTTTCAGCGTCCCATAGCCTTGATGATATGAGCGAGTATGTGATTAGTGGAGGCTGAAGATGCTGCCCCTAATCGAAAAGAGTGTCCTGAAAAATTATTGGGATTTAGGCCGAGCTTAGTCAACAGTAGCCGAACGTAAAGCATGAATTTTGCTGTGGTAAGTATGTATCCATGCAGTTCAAGCAGAGGTTGATGTGGTTGTTTCTGGACTGAAAGGAAATAAGTGTCCAAGACCACTTGTTTTGAGTAGGATACAAGGAAATGTTAATAGTTTTAAAAGCCTGAAAACGAAACCGAGACAAGTGGTCAGCTGAGGTGTTTGTGTACCCTGGAACATGTATACAGGTGATAAAGATTTGACAAGTAGCTGCTACCCATGTGAGTCGTCTCAACAGTCTCATAATTACCAGAGATGAAGACCAGCCTTTATTTACAATATGGCACTGTGACTAGACTAATCTCGCCACTGTGCATTGGAGGAGCCTGGTTGCCCGCCTGCTGCCTTTAGACTATTGCCCCATGTTGAAACGCTTGATTTTCCCCTGCAAAGACACGAAAGCCGGGTCATTCGGTGCTTGCCCTGTTTGAGCGGTGATACCCCAGATAGCTATGCCATGGAGGCCATTCGTATAATGAAAGACTTTGGCTCCATGGCAATTGAACTGTATTTGTGTGATCTGAGCGCCATTCAGTAATAATGTGCGCTCAGATCTGAGCTATCTGGGGATATGTTGAATGTACCTGTTTTATGCAATAGCTGCACAGTTATATATTTTTATGTATTTTGTCTTTTGCTGCCATGTGTTCAATGGAGTTTTGCCTCTGTCCTTGGAGATAATTGGATTACTTCCTAATTATCTCCAGGATAGAAGACTCCGTGGAACTGGTTTTGGGCAGAAAAGCCATGCTTCATTTGGTCACAAAGGACTACGATCTACCTTTTGAACCACCAGAATGTGTATATAAGAACAATAAACCCACAGCTCTGTCTGTTCCTGCTTGACCCTCAAAACGGAGCCTTGTCTCGTTCTTGGGGGCCTTATTGTATGCTGTTCCAGTTCGACTGCTAGGAGTGTAAACCTATTCGTATGGTTTTTCCTATTCATCTGTTTACAGCATTCGTATGTTTGAGAGCAGTCGTATGCTTCTCCGGTTCGGTGGATTGGTGTCTACAGTAGCTGTGCCTGTGTCTCTGAAAGGGGAAGATCTACTAAATGGCTTTTAACCCCTTTTATGCCTGGGGGTGCCGTTACAGGCACGTAGCTAAATTATCTGAGTAACATCTAACCGTGAGACCAGACCAGTTTTGTCCCCAGGCAATGGCCTCTGCCACGATTGGGTATAACTCAAATAAAGCTGAAGTATCAGAGAAGCTGGGCAGGGATTGAACTTTGGTCGGCCAAAGTCCCCAAAGCGATTGATCTCCCCAGATGGCTGCAAAACCATTTTTTGCTGCGGCATCTGTCCATAGTGAAGGTGAAGTGTCAGACGGGGGTGGTATAAACATGGCTCGCCCGTTAAAAGAAGTGAGAAAAAACAAACCACATATGTAAATCAGAGGTTGCATGATCATCTAAAGTGATACGTGAAGCGTCTGAGGTGAATAGTGGAAATAAAGATAGTAAGTGGGAGGTAAAGGGTCTACCATGTGGTATAATCCTCATAGTAAAATTGTTACAATACAACAACCTTGTAGTAGGTAGTGTTAAATGCTTGCCAGGGTGCGCTCAATCTTATCCTGTGGGAGGCTAGCTTGCATATGGATAGAGTCCAATTGGATCCCTAAAAACTGCATGCTAGTGTCCGGACCTAAAGTTTTGTGAGTGGAGACTCGGATAGTGAGGGATTCAAACAGAGCCAACATGTGTGACAAGCTACTTGGGGGGGAGTGTGTTATTCTCAATCGTGAGGAAATCGTCTAGGTAGTGAATAACCGAAGGACATCTACACACATTAACCCCTTAAGACCGCAGGGCATTCTATGCCGTCCTTAAGGAAGCGGCTCTAAATGCTGTAGGGCGGCATAGAACGCCCTGTGACCTTATGTACTTACCCGGGCGCCGGCGATTGCGGTATGGGGACTCACCTGGGAGCCCAGGGAGTCCCTCTCCTTCCTCTTCGGCTCCTCTGGGCCATGTGACCGCGAGGTCCTTGTGAGGACCTCGCGATCAAATGGACAGCATATCTGTCCATGGCATTGAGAGCAGAGGGAGTGCCTGTAATGACAGGTACTCCCCCTGCTGTCT